CCGCCGAGCGCTGCGGGAAGGAGGGGCCACCCGAGGAATCCCCGGTTCCCGCGCCTTTCCGTCCGCTCCCGAAACATCTCCCGAAGCAGCCGCCCCCGCGCGCCCACTGCGTAGCCAGGCCCGGGACGGGAAGACGGATGGGGGACACGGCCGCGAATCCGCAAGCCCACCCCCGCCCCCAGCGCCTCGGAACCGGCTAAGGGAGTGAGGCCCTCAGACAGCCCAGGTCGAGGCCGAAAGCCAACTCCACAGTACCCCACTGCGAAGTCCTTGTAGTGCTGAGATGTGCGGTCAGCTCCCCCTGCGCACTCCTGCGCACTCAAAACTTGCAAGGGGCGGACCGAGCAGGATGCTTGAGGCCTGTGGTAGACTGGTCCGGACCCGAGGCCTGGGGCAAGGGGTCTCCGTAGGGACGGATGGGAGAGATGCAGAGGAGGTAGAATGGCCCGGCTGTGGACTGCGGTAGGAAGAAGTAGACAGAAGGAGACCCCCGGGATGGAAACCCTGCAATCCTAGTTGAGGAGTGAAGGGGGCTCGGGGAGTCTGGGCAGTGGGTTCTGCTGGCTGTCGGATTTCCAGGAGAGGTTGGGGCTGGAGTGGGAACTCCTGCATCAGGCAAGGTGGGTAACAGCACAAAGCAGAGGGAAGGTGTGGGAAGGGAGCAAGACAGAGGGACAGGCCCTAGGGAGCCAGCGGGGAAGCTGGACTTGGACTGGGAAGCAGCAGGGTGCAGGTCCCCTGGGGGGCAACTGGGGCAGACCCACTCTCAGGTCCAAGGAGTTGGGAGCTTGGGCAGGGAGCACAAATGTCCCGTGTGTAGCCAGGTCCTAGTGAGGATGTCTTTTGGGGACTTGGGAGCTGGCAGAAGGCCTGAGCAGGGAGAGGGCACCTGTGTTCTTTGGGGAGCAGGCCACACGCGGCCCACAGGCTCACTGAGGGAGGGCAGGCAGACTCTCTCCAGGTGTGGCCAGATAGCCATGAAAGGTGGGGCTGGAGAAGGGGGCTTGGAGGAGGAGCCACTGAAAGGCCCAAGGCCACAGGCATCACCAGGCTGGTACAGGCAGAGAGTGGGATGGGGAAGAGCAGGCTCCTCACTCAGCCATGTTGGTGCACGAGGGAGGTGGGGTGGGCTGAAAGAGAAGTGGAACCAGTGTGGACACAAATGCAACAACTTGGGGACAAATAAACAGGCCAACCACTTCTGGGCAGCTCAGCCTGGGCACAGCCCTGACCTCAGCAGTGCCCTCCCAGTGCTGGGGCCCCTCCCACGGAGGATCCAGATTACTGCTCCCAATAAAGGCCAGCAGAGGTCCCAGTGGCTGCAGGGTCTATCCCAGCCCAGCTCCCGGCTTTAGAGGCACTGACCCCCTGGGCTGGAGGGGACACTCACCTCAGCTGGATGGAGGTCATGAACAGGCATATCAAATTCCATCACCTTTCTCCTTCCCCCAGACCTGTTCCCACCCCCATGTGCCACCTCTGTACAGGAAGGGCACCACCTGGATGGTGCCCCCCCAATCCCTCAGGACCTCCTAAATGTCTCAGATCTCTGCCCACCCCTGTTTGTCACCCAGAGTAGTCTTTTTAATCTCGCATGTGGCTATCCACCAATGCTCTCAGGACAAGCATCGTCCCCAGCCTCACCTCATGACCTGGTGCATACATCCCTTGCAGTGGATGGCAACTTTGGGTGTCATGGGCAGAGCCCTCATTTGTCCCAGCCACCACTGCACCCCTGGGGGAAGACTGAGAAGTATGGCAGGAATGAAGGATCATCCATGTGGCACCA